TCGGCCTTGTATACGAGCAAAATGTCTTTCAACGTCTTACTCTCTTCCACTGTAGCTCTCCCAAAAAATAAGCAGTCACCTGCAAAAAAAGGTGCGAGATCATGGGGGCCCCCCTAGCTGGCTTTATTCCATGAAGGCATTTCTCACGGACTTCCTTCTTTGTAAGGGCTTAAAGCCCCTCCGCGCATAGGAGGAAAAGATTCGGGGACAGTGGGTCTCCTTGACGAAGACCCCTACCAGGATGGAAAACCACTGACTGGTGCACATTTACGAGAACAGAATACGTCACTGTTCGGACGCACTTCATTATCAACTCCACCCATCTCTCATCAAAACCCATACGGATCATGATCGCCTCCAGGAAGTGCCACTCAACCCTGTCATAGGATTTTGCCATATCGATCTTCGCAGCGAAAACTCCAACACTTGTCTTCGACTTCTTTTTCATGGAGTGGAAGCATTCGAATGCTGCCATGATATTGTTCGTGATATATCTGCCTAGAACAAAAGCACTATGTTCCTCAGTAATAATCAAGTCCAACACCATTTTCAACCTGTTCGCCAGTACCTTCGCTACCAGTTTATAAAGAAAATTGCATAAGCTGATGTGTCTGAACTCCTGCGGGGTTGTTGGCGACTTCACTTTAGGTATCAGAGCAATGAGAGTGTGATTAAGACCAGGTGGGATCGCGCCTCGTTCTATAATTTCCAGAATAGCTAATGTCACCTCCTCCCCAATTACATCCCAGTGCTTCTTGTAGAATAGAACCGACAATCCATCCTCACCTGGGGCCTTACGCGAGCCCATCTACCGCAGTGCAAAGGAGACCTCCTCCTTATTGAACGGGCGGAGAAGCTGCGTATTCTGCTCGTCAGATATGGTCTGAGAAACTGCATCCAAAACTGTGGTACTCTGTGGCGCCTGGCTAGCTGCAAATAAACCAGAAAAATAATTGATGAAACAGTTAAAAATATAGTCCGGATTTGTGTGCCATAGCCCCGCCGCATCTTTAATCTTCCGGATTGTATTTCGCTTCCTTCTCACCGTAGCCTTGTTATGAAAGAAGGTCGTGTTTTAGTCACCCCCGTGGAGCATGTCAGCCCTCGATCTCTGGCTCCAATAGATTTCCTCGTTTGTTTCCAACTCTAGTAGTTCATTATCAAGTTTATTATGCTGCATCATATTCTGCTCCGTCCTCGGGTGTCTATCCAAAGCTTCCAAAGCTTTTTTTTATCTTTGTTCTCTGTCGCCCGAACCGAGGGAAAACTCGGCGACTCCAACGGTCGAGTTTTGACCTGTAAAAACAAAGTTTCGTTAGAGTGTTCATTCCTCCTTGTTCTCGCCACGCTTCCTCCACCACCTTTGGGCATTCCGGATGATTTGCCCAATGTGGCTCATATTTAAATGACCACCCCCACTTTGGTTCTATATCAGCCTCCCCTTCGGTGTCACAGACTATGGGTCGATGATCGGAGGGCTCTTTGTCGAGATGTAGGACTCGAGCTTGAGGGAAAATGGTTGACCAACTATCAGAAGCCACAAATCGATCGAGATGCTCTTCAATAAAAGCTTCTCCTATTCTACGGTTCTCCCACGTAAAAGGATAGTCGTGGTATCCCATATCCCATAGCCCCGCTTCTGTCAGGCAATGTTCAAAACCAGTGAGCAATTCATCAGCTACAACTTGTTCACCTCGTGTTAGATATATATAATAATAATGTTAGGCTTATTAGCAAGGTTGGGCGGCTAGGGTAGGCCGATTAGGTTAGGATTAGTTTATTAGGTTTTGGGTTTATTTCCTATAAATGTACTTTGGGTTTACGTCATAATCACTCAAGAATAATATTACAGAAAGTATCCCTCAAACCCTAGTCTCTAATCCCTCTCAAATCTCGTCCCTCTCTTCTCTAAAGGCCGCCGATCATTCTTCTATCTCAACCCCAATTCTGTTCTTCAATCCCTAATCCCCAATTCTCATATGAATCCCTAAATCCTTAATTGTTACGATAATTACGGGTGCCGAAGATCAGTCTCTAGAATCCTTAACAAGAGGGTTCTTTCAGTGGTATCAGAGCCCGGTTGCAGGCACTCGTACCGGAGCCATGTCAAAATTCGACGAGCTCTCCGTCAAAGAACTCACAAAGCTTTTGAAGTCGAAGCTAGAGGAGGTAAGGAGGAACGAGGTTACCTCCAGGCTGTCAAATTTTTTGCAGTCGAAGCTGGAGGAGGAACGAGGTTACCTCCTGGCTTTCAAAAATTATGCAGTCGAAGCTGGAGGAGGTGAGGAGGAACGAGGTTACCTCCTCGCTGTCCGGGAACCTTGCGCGGGCTGCTCCACTCGAAGCCGCACCCGCTGCGTCGAAGGAGCCAACAGTGTGGCCGAGAAGGAAACCACAATCGCCTTTCCTGCCACATCACCATCATCGCCAGTTGTTTCCCCACCTGTCGAGACTAAGACGAAAGTCAAGGAGCCCCTGGCGGTGGAGCCGCGGGTCACGAAAGAAGTTCCAAAGCCACCAATAGCCGCCACGACGAGGACCAAGGAGCGAAACATGATTGCCGAGTTTGCAATCGAGGCTGCGATTGAAGAAGATGGCGGCCTTGTTGCTTCTATTGTTGTCTTCAACAATGAGAGAGTGACCGCCTCTGTAGAAGAACCACAGGCGGGAGGCGTTGAGATAAGAACAACGCCAAATCACATGGCAAACTGGCTGTTCCGCAAGAAAGGATTGAGGCCTGCCGAAGAAAAACAGTGTCTACATGTTCCCTCGCCACTTCCAAGCCTGGAGGTGAGGATATTAGTCGTGGCAGAGCAAATCGGAGAACCCAGCGATCCAAATGACGAATCGCCCATCACCGTGACTGCCGAGGTGCAGACCAGGAGTTCGGAGATCTACTCGATGCTGGAGATAGGGATTATGGAGTGGAATTGTCGGGGTTCATATCCGATTGGTTCGTCGGGGTTGATTGCGCATGTGAGGCCGCGAGCCGGGCGAGGAGTCCCTCTTGCGCCGCATTTGAAGCCGAAGCGAGAAGCAGGTCAGGTTGGCCGTAGTTATTCACCGTTGGCGCGAATCTCGCTGGGGAAATCGCGATCGGCGACCACCGACTTCTCTCTTCCCTATGAATCGACGATCGACAGCGTAAATAGGTCGGAGAAGAGAAGGGCTGGATCGGACCTCCCTCCTTGCCCCCTGACGAGCTCATCGCCGGAGAAGAAGGCGAAGCGGGGGCAAAGGGAAAAAGGGGCGCCGCCGCCAGTCTGGCCGTCGACCGCCGAGAGGAGGAAGGCAGAAGTGGGCTAGCTTCTGGGTCACCGAGTTCCGCCGGAGGAGATGAAGAAGATGACGGCGGCGGATTCGTGGCCTCTGGGCAATTGGCGCGTTTGGGAGCCAGCAAAGGACTTGATGGCGACTCTCCTCGTGTCGCCGATCAGCAGGGAGAGGAGTCGGAGGGCGGAGCCAGAAGCGCGACAGCAGCCTCGCCGCCGGGGTGCTTGTGCGTCGCCGGCGAAGGTGGTGAGGGGAGTGCCGAGGGAGAAGGAGCTCTTGGGCAGCGGTGGGTTTTCGTCTCTAGCAACCCTAGGTCGCGCAACCAAGAAGCCAGAACCGTTGGGCCGAGCTATGGGTCAGGCCGCTGGGCTCAATTTGACCGGAGAGGATCAGCAATCGGAGCGGGCCGAAATAAGTCCACTGATTAAGTTGAAGGACGCAGGCTTATATGGAGTGTATAAGTTGTTCAGTGGGCTTTCAAATGAGCCAAGCCCAAATGAAGTTGAAATGAAGAAGATACCAATGAGGTTTAATATTGATTTGGGCTCCAGTTATTTATTGCAACCAATTGTGGGCCAAGTCCAAAGAAGAGAAGATTGGCTTGTCTTCACCATCAAGCCTATGATGGACCTTATAGATCATTTCCTTGAAGACCACAACCTAGAGCATAAAGAAGAACAATTCTCCGATTCATATTTTTGAAGTTCGAGAAGGAAAAATTGTTCGGCCATGAAGAACGTGACATATGTCACGTGGGTGGAGAGTGGAGGAAAGTTGGACTAACGCGAGAAGAGTTCATTCAAGGGATTGAGCGCGATTGGAAATGAAGAAAGCGGAAGGTCAAGAAGACGAAAGTTGACTGCAACCTTGAGGACAAGGTCGCTTTCAAGGAGGGTGGAATGTTAGATATATATAATAATAATGTTAGGCTTATTAGCAGGGTTGGGCGGCTAGGGTAGGACGATTAGGTTAGGATTAGTTTATTAGGTTTTGGGTTTATTTCCTATAAATATGTACTTTGGGTTTACGTCATAATCAGTCAAGAATAATATTACAGAAAGTATCCCTCAAACCCTAGTCTCTAATCCCTCTCAAATCTCGTCCCTTTCTTCTCTAAAGGCCGCCTACCATTCTTCTATCTCAACTCCAATTCTGTTCCTCAATCCCTAATCCCCAATTCTCATCTAAATCCCTAAATCCCTAATTGTCACGATAATTACGGGTGCCAAAGATCAGTCTCTAGAATCCTTAACAAGAGGGTTCTTTCACCTCGCTTCTCCTCCATGTTACAGATTTGATTGAAGTCCCCCCCCCCCCACACAGTCATGGCCCATCCCATTGTGCTGCTAGTCATTTAATCATGTCCCACGTCTTCCAATTTTCTTCATCCACCGACCAACCATACACACCCGTAAATCTCCATACTCCCTTATCATCCTCGCACACCTTTGCGTCGACATGGTTCGTGGATAGAGACATAACCTCAATGTTTATCCCATCCCGCCACCACAGGCCCACTCCTCCAGCTCTACCTCCACGCGAGAGGTCAGCCGAAGCACTTTCTCCTTCCTCGAACCCCAGTTCCATTCTTGTAGCCTTATTTTCCTCGTCAGTTTGCTTTGTCTCCGTTAGAAACACAAGCTGTGGGGAGTAGAGTCGCAAAAGCGACTTCAAGGCTTTAATTGCACGCTTGCTCCCCAAACCGCGGCAGTTATAACTTAGAATCCTCATTTATTCCTCGAAGGGGATAGGTTCCCTACACCATTCAGCGTAGATAATTTGTTCACGGTGGAGCTTTTGCCATTGTTCTGTTGCGCTCCCGGTGGTACGTGTACTGCATGGCCTGCATGGGCATCTCTCTCTTGCATACCTTGTACTCCCTTCCCATCCACTTTGATACTGCCTCCGACATTGATTTTTGGGTCAGGTTTAGTAGCAGCATTATTAGGCACATTTTTCCGGATAGTAGCATTTGACTTATTTCCATCCAAGGGCGGTGCGTTTTGCTTCACTCCCTCCTGCTGATTCTTTCTTGCATGTGTCTCACTATTCTTTTTCTCAGTAACCTTTGCGCTCGTCTGTCTTACGTCTTTCTCTTGAAAGGCATGGAAGCGGTTTCCCTGTCTCCCCATAGTGTTGCCATCCACTCGCTTGTTCGTTGGTATCGCCCTTTGCTCGTATCTTCTTGGTTTTCTTTTGACAGTCATCTAGTCGCTATAGACATGCTCCTATGATTGGTCCTCTCCTGGAGCTTCCGGAACGTACTCCAGGGTGGGGCTTGGCGGTTGCTCCTCCATTATGTGGCAATGGCATTTCTCTGTTCGATTTCCATATAGTCCACACTCTCCACATATATCATCCAGTCCTTCATATTGGATCAAATAGGCGATCCCTTCTACCTTGTATTTCCCTAGAAATGGTTTTGTCAGGTATACTTCAACACTCACACGGGCATAGTTTCCTCTTGCCCCCATCTTCGTTGCTCTATCAACTTTTATTGGGGTGCCAATAAGTTCCGCAATCATCGTCACATCTTCAGCATTGAAAAACTCAATGGGCAAATCAGGTAGTTGAACCCACACAATTGTGGATTTCACAATCGCCTTCCATGGGTTAAATCCCTTATACCACCGATGGACAGTCAGGTATGTATCCCCCAAAAACCATGGACCTCCTTCCGCCGCCAGCTGATAGTCTCATTAGTCTCTGAACTTGTCTAAGAAACATCCATTTTTCAAATCAGAGATTTGGATGTCACCATGTCTAGACCACAAGTAATTCAGTCTCTTTGCCAAAGGGATGTATGGTACGTCACGACCCAATCCTTTCACTATTAGGGCTGATCTCCATTCTCGTCTCCACTTTATCTTTTGCGCAGCAATAAACAGGACAAGAGGACATCGTGGATCATAGGAATCTTCATCAATTACATCATCTTCCTCCTTCTCCCTCTTTGCAACATCCTCCGAATCCGATTCACCTACGTACCATCTGAACATCCCTCTACATTGAACATGGAAAAAGACACTTCTACCCCGGGGTAAAATTCGAAAACTTCAAATCAGACAATTTCAATTAAAATACCAATCTTAAATATTTTAATATCTCAAAGCAAAGCCCTAAACACGTGGGCAAAACTTAAATCGTACTCTTCAAAAGAACAAAAGAAATGAATCTCCAGTTTATAACTCTTAACCATAAAGTCCTAATAACTTCAAAAGTTCCTCGATGCTTACTATGACGCCTGGCTCGACATCTCTCAGCGACGGTGGTGTTGAGCTCCTCTAGCTTGCTGATCACGGACTGGCTGGTTATGATCTCCTTCTCTACGATCTGGTGAGTGAGTTAGGATCAGTCTACGCCCTTACGTTTGAAATCTCTAGCATTTCTTACTTAAGAACTTAACTTAAACGGGAGGATGATACTTCCACTCTTTAAAATTCACTCTAAAAGCTCAAATCTCAACTTAAATATTTGACTATTACTGGGATCTCTCATTAGCTAGTCCGGTTGCCAACTCATACGTATGAGAGCCCATCCAGGCTTTCCTTAAACTTAAACTTATTGTGGTGGCTCTTCACCACGATTCTCAAGATCATAACTGCTGCTCATCTTAAAAATCTCACGAGCATAACTGATGCTCGTCTTAAAAAGTCTCAAGAGCATAACTGCTGCTCTATCTCAAAGATCTCAAATGGCAACGGACTGACGCTAGTGACTAAAAACACTTAAAACGACCTCACCTTCTTAAAGGTGAGTTACTTATTAAAAAAAAGGAGAACCTAGTTATTACACTTTAATAATAACTCCTAATTGCAAAGTTTTAAAGTAAATAACAACTCATACATAATCACTCTACACAAAGCTCAAACAAAGCACATATCACCAATCATAAACACAATCAAGCAATAACAATCACTTCATCAAAATACTTAAAGCTCGTCAAACTTGAAAGAATACGTAAGGTGGAGAATTTACCCCCTTTATACTCACCTTGAAAAGATGACTCCTCGATTCCTTACTCGAAGAAATCCCTCCTAGCCGAATTATCTCGGTGAACCTATTAATAAGAAGGCCATCTCCTTAGTCGACCTTTCTCGATTTAGAATTCCCTTTTGGATCACTAGAACATCCTCTCCTCAAAATCTAGCTCTCGAGACTCGATCCAAAGGTTCCTTAACCCCCTTTAAAAATTTCCTAGAAATAATCCCTTCAAAACCGACCATTTTTCCTAATCATTTTAGTCTTGGACGAATTTTCCACCTACCTTGAACCTTCCTAAAAATTTGGATAATAATTTTCCTACGTCATTCATGAATATCTATAACCTGGAAAATTATCAAACCCTTAAAATAACCATCGGTAAGATTTTTATTTAATTAAAATAAACATTCGAACAATTTCTAAAATTAAAATACTTCTTCGAAAATCCCCAAATTAAATTACAGCCATATCCTAGACCACCCACAATTTATAAAATTGTTAAACTTAGGAACAAACACCCGCAGTGGCTCAAAATAAATTAAAACATCCAAAATAAGTTTCTGCAAATTCCCAGCTGCTTTAGTAACCACACAAAATCTGTCACTAAAAGCCTGTAACGCCTGTTGCTAAAAACTCAGAATTGCACCCTCACGAAAAATCTACAAATTAATAGACCTAACTCAAAGGGATCGAGTTCCCTTACCTCTTGAACGTGCCTAGTGCCTAGGCCAAGGTTGGATGACCCGAGAGTTGATCTCCTCTTTGATCGAACCTTCAAACGTCACCGCTAATAAAATACGAGCTTCGAATTAGACTATCGATGAATTAAGTTTAGAAATCGCGAAGGGGTTCGTGATCCTTACTTAGAAACACAAAAGGGATGGGATCGGGTTCGTCATTCATGAATATTTATTTTTGTGCTGCTGGTGACCACGTGTGGGGAAAGGTGATTCTTATAATAATAAAAGTACTAATAATTTGTTGTTATGCTGATGGGAAAACGAAGGATAATGGTGATTATTATAATGATGATAATAATAATAATAACAATAAGAGTTATTACTTGTTCATCAATTGTAGAGGATTCTCCCAAATTTTTGGCCGCTAGGTTTCCCGATTAAGCGTGCCGGTCGCGCCGGCATCTGCGCCGGTGTGTGAGTGAGATTGGTTTCTGCAATGGCTTCTTCTTCTTCATCGCCGCCGGACACGAATTCGTCTCAGGGTGTCCCGGTGAAGCCCTGGGCGGACCTGTTCGGCATCTCGGAGGCGAATCGACTTTGCTATGTCAAGCCTGAGGTCTATAAAGGAGGACTTCGTATGCCCAAAGCGGTCATCGACGAGGGTGCGGCTCGCTGGAAGCACAGCCTGGTCGGAAAATTTCTTCACGAGGCTCCGTCGCTTCCTGTGTTGAGGAGGTGGGCAAATAAGATCTGGGGAAGGGATGGGTTGGTTCGAGTTTCGCTTCTGGGTGATAAGTTGCTCCTTGTACAGCTTCCTACCCAGGCCACCTGTGATTGGATATTGGAGAGTGGCCCCTGGTTCTACTTCGACAATCTGCTATACCTTCGTCCATGGAAGACGGGGATTAACGTAGAGGATATGGGAAGGAAGGCTTTGCCTATCTGGGTAAGGTTCACTAACACTCCTCTTGAGTATGTTAATTTTCAAGGGTTAAGTCGAATGGGGAGTTGGTTGGGTGTGCCCCTTGGTGTAGACCAGACTACTCGCCTAGGTGGACGTTTGGGGGTAGCGAAGGTCTTAGTGGAGCTGAGAGCTTCTGGGGAATTTCCTGACCACGTCCTGGTCTGGCCTGATGATGATACTTCGATAAGGGTGGGAGTGGAATACAGTTTTCTTCCCCCTGTTTGTAAGGTGTGCTGTTCATTTGGGCTGGATTGTGGTTGTGATAATAAGCAGGGTGAGAAAGTATGGGTGAGGAAAGATAACAAGGTGCAGAAAGGGATTGAAGTGGTGGAGAGCCAATCAGGGGGAGTATCTTCAGTAATTCTAGTTGACAAGGTGGGAAAAGAGGCTGATGTGCACAGTAAGGGTAAAGAAAAGGTGATTGACCAAGTGGCCACTCCGATTAACACCTCTTTGATGGTTGGTTCAAATCTGATCCAGTGTACTAACCTGGATACTAAGTTTCAGGAGGCTGCTCTATCTCCTCTCCTTCCTTTAGAAGATGATTTTCAGCTTGTTGTGAACGGAAGTAGGCAACGAGTTTGGTCTCCTAGCCCCAGCCCTAAGAGTGTATTGAATATGGCTCAGACTTTTGAAGTGTTTAATAAATACAATGTGGATGATGTTATCAAACTTCAGGAGGCTCCAAAAAAAGGTCGTAAGGAAGGTGGGAGGCTTACCTCCCCAACTCCACCATGAAGATCCTCTTCTGGAATGTTAGAGGGTTTAATAAACCCTCTAAGAGGCAGGGTTTCGCTCAAACTCTGCGTAGTTATAATGTAGAAGTAGTGGTTATTATTGAAACTAGAATAAGGAAGCATAAATCTGAGGAGGTTGCTGAGAGCTTTTGTCCTGGTTGGCACAGGTATTTGAACTATATTGAGAGTGATTTGGGGAGACTGTGGGTCTACTGGAATCCTGACAAGATTATTGCGAGAGTCTTGTTGCCTGGTAAGAATTTTGTGCACCTTTTGGTCCAAAGTAGTGATGGGGAGTCTTGTTTTATTAGGGGAGTTTATGGTTCTAATGAAGAGGCTGAACGTCGAGCTACATACACTGATATGGCCCCTTTAAAGGTCTCTCCTATGCCTTGGATTGTGGGGGGCGATTTTAATGCTGTTCTTTGCCCCTCTGATACGTCAAATTTAACTAATATGACTAGCTGTATGGGTAATTTTAGAGGTTGGGTTCCTGCTATGGAGTTGTTTGATCACAGATCGGTTGGGCCATATTTTACCTGGACAAATAGACAGGAGAGGAACCCTATTGCGAGACGTCTAGATAGAGTACTGGTGAATGAGAAGTGGTTTGATGCTTTTCCTGAGTGTATGGTGGAAGTAGTCATTGGAACTTTCTCTGATCACTGTGGAATATTAGTTTCTACCAAACCTGATAAGGGTACACTACCCAAACCTTTCCAGTACTTTGACTTTTGGTCTGAGCATCCTGATTTTATGCAGATTGTTAAGGATGGGTGGGATACTCAGGTCCAGGGGGTGCCTATTCAAAGGGTTAAGGTCAAGCTAAATGAGGTGAAGAA